TTCTCTTTGTATAAAGCTGTTAATCAGAAGAGATTGAAATATACATTTATATCTAGAAGAAAAAAGGTGTGGTTTTGTGTGTCTATGCAAAGACAGACTCCACATTCTAAATAATGGTATGAACACACAGCTTGCTAATGAAAATCATATATATTCAGCTTGCTGTTTAAAAAGAAACTCACAGCAGACATGCCCTGTAGCTAAACCTGAACCCTTAACTCATGTTGGAGGCTCTCATGGCTGAGTCATTTTCCACAGCTCAAAATCCACTTTCCATGGTATAATTTCCAACAGATTAATTTTTTCAATACCTTCATTATCTAGTCAAAAAATTAAATGTATTACAGTACCAGCAATAATGGTTGGTTTCAGAACTGCTAAGTTTCAGTGTGGGTTTATTTTTGTTTGTTTAAACAATTAAGGTATGGAAATCAGCCAGCATGGAAACGTTGCAACTCTTGAGACAGGTCTGTGTGGTAAAGAAAAAGGTAACAACAACAACAATATTAATAGTACTATTATTATTAATAATAATGATCCTGCAGCTGCTACCAAGGCTTTGCTTGGCTGCTCTTTAAGGAAAACAAAAGCAAAATTAAAGAACCAATTGCCTCATAGCTGTCAACTGGGTTTGACTCAATTTTTCCCTGATTGCACTGCCATACTTTAAAACATTTGGCCTTAAATCAGAAGGCTGAATTTAGAACAGGATGGCTTCCTAGAGCTCATCTTCGAATTACTTGCCAAAGCCCCAAAAGGTGCTCCACGGTGTTTCATTTTTAGGAACAGCTTCCTCTCTGCTCCCAACATCACAGACATTAAAGGCTTTGCAAAGTTTAATGCCTAATGTGCAGGATTTCTAATCATAGAAATCAATGTACGCAATTAGAGAGATAAACTGATATGCTAAATGAAATTTAGCACCATGCCCAACACAAATAAGAGGGATTTTTCCAAAAGACAAAGCAACAAGCCCCGAAGGAGACCTAATTGGTAGCATTTTAAAGCCCAATGAACAAAAGAAAAACCTTGAGACAGCTGACAGCATCAGCACGCTGAGAATATTGTAATGCTTGTTAAGGAAAAACAGAAAAGAGTTTCAATAAAGCTTCAATAGCAATGAAATACGATATAAACCTATATTTTATATGCTATTATATTTATGTAGCAATAAAATATTGGAGGCTGTAATGCAGAAAAATAGCCTGCAAAGCATCACCTGTAAGTCAGCCTAAGGAAGAGTCAATAAAAGATGGATTGGATTATTCTTATCTGCATTATCACAGGATTTAGAAAAGCAGCAACACATCATGTCATCACTGTTCTACAGGCCTTGCAAGATAGAAGAGATAAAATTCCAGAGGAAACAGGCACTGAGTGGGCACCAGTGGGAAGCAGAGGCACTGCTGCTGGCCTGGCCACTCTCAAGTGTTTTCAAAAACTTGATAAAGGGATCAGACGTTTTCCATTCACCTTAGTACACAAACCAGAAGAGTTTCATCTCAGCAGGGTCAAGGGAAGAGACTTGTTTCAGTTCAGAGTTTTCATCCAACTCAAGAGGGACAGATGAGTCACTGTGCATTCAATAATACATTTGTCTTGGAAGCATCTTTACAAAGCACATACCCAAAAATATGCAGATGAGGTTTCCTCAGTCACTTCTGAAACACAACCCCTGATGCAGCCTCTGACCCCAGGACTGAAGCTGGTGGCCCCAGAGGTGCAGCACCATCGCCTGGTGAGGTGCTGGGGTGGGTTGGGAAGCCCATGGCTCTCCCCTGAACAACCCAGTGCTGTGAGAGGTGGAGCTAAATAAAATAATTCAGCTCTGAGGGAAAGCCAACCAATGAACAACCAACCTCCAGCAAACGCGCTGTCCCATCCTTCACATCCAGAGGGCTTTTCAAGGTTATTTCACAGAATATTTTGGGCTGGAAGGGACCCACAAGGATCATCAAGTCTGACTTTTAGCACTACACAGGACACCTGAAGAGTTTACCCCCTGTGTCCCAGAGGATCATCCCAACCCTCCTGCAGCTCTGGCAGCCTTGGGGCTGTGCCCACTGCCCTGGGGAGCCTGTTCAGTGACAACCAGCCTCTGGGGGAAGAACCTTTCCCTGAGAT